TTTCAAACTGCTAGGTTGGCAGGAGCTGAGGTGAGGACAGGGGTTCACCCAGTAGTGGGATTCAAATACCTGAACATCCAGTTCTCTCCGTGGATGCAGGCCTGGGTCTCTGAGGCCTAGAATGGACTTCCGGAAGTGACATCCGAGCACTTCCTGTGGGCTGTTCTAGGCCTGGGAGGCCTCCTCCAGGCCTCCGAGGCCTAGAACGGACTTCCGGAAGTGACATCCATGCACTTCCGGCAGGCCGTTCTAGGCCTGGGAGACCTCCTCCAGGCCTCCGAGGTCTAGAGTGGACTTCCAGAAGCAGTATGGATTCAGCCAGTTCTCCGGACTCAACAAAATTTAGCTACTGGTTCTACCGAACTGGTGCGAACTGGCTGAATCTCATCACTGGGTTCACCCCATCGCATGGCGCTTGGGTCTCAAACCCAGGCTGACAGCTTTCCAGCTGACAGGCTCAGCGTGTTTACCCACTGAGCCATCGCGCTGAGAAGTGTACCAATCTTCGGTTCTAGCAGACATGTCAAACACAAGGCCCGGGGGCTGGATGCGGCCCGCGAAGTGCTTTCATGTGGCCCGCAAAGCCATCCTGGAAACAGTGAGGGAACGGCCCCCTCTGCCTTGGCCCTGGCCCAGGCCGGCCGGGAGCCAATGTAGAATTTTGTGGTGGCCATCTTGGCACTTGCCCCGGTGGACCATGCCTTGACACTTGCCCCAGTCCCACCCCCTTCTGCCAGAGACCCTCAGATCTGTCCCACTCCTGCCCAGGCCCCCACAGGCACCCTTGACGCAAATGATGCAGAACTGGCCACGCCCATGCAGCAGCCACACCCACTCCATCCACGCCCCCCCAGTAGGCTGCACCCACTCTGGCCACACCCACCCGCCCCCCCCAGGGCAACCGCAATGCTCAATGAAATTGAGTTTGACACCCCTGTGCTAGAACCTCCAAACCACCTCAAGGTGCCCACTGAATGTGGCAATTAAAATACCCAAGGACTTGGCTGAAAAGAAGGACCAGCT